GCGCGCGAGAGAGAGAGAGAGAGAGAGAGAGAGAGAGAGAGAGAGAGGGCGCACGCGCGCGCGCGCGAGAGAGAGAGAGAGAGAGAGAGAGAGAGAGAGAGAGAGAGCGCGAGAGAAGAAAGAGAGAGAGAGAGAGAGAGAGAGATAGAGAGAGAACGCGCGCGCGCGCGAGAGAGAGAGAGAGAGAGAGAGAGAGAGAGAGAGAGAGAGGGCGCGCGAGAGAGAGAGAGAGAGAGAGAGAGAGAGAGAGAGAGAGAGGGCGCGCGAGAGAGAGAGGGAGAGAGAGAGAGAGTGGTATAATGCATAATATAAAATATTACACGTGTCGTGCACTAAAGTTACTAATTAGTGCAATTTAAATAACCCCTTTACAATTTCGTCATGTAAGCTAAAACATATCAGCCACTGTGCTAATACGTATAAATTAGGAATACGAGATAAATATCACACTCCTTATAGCCACACACACATATATATCATATAGGCCTATATATATTGTGTATTATATGCGGTATATATTAATATTGTGTACGCAGCATATTAATGTGGAACTGTAACATATCTATAGCCAGAATCTCGTTTATCTGTTCATTATTCATTAGTATATAATTAATAACGCACAAGGTTATACCAGGTAGGATGCACTGCAATGTTTGCGTGCGTAGTGATGCATGAGATGAAGGAGTTCAGTCAGGGAAACCTTGATCTGGCTGTTCATCTAGCTCGAGGCTATATCGACAGCCTTCGGTGCGCATGAATTCATAACAATCAAGGGCTTTCTCATCCTCAACTGCTGCGTCTTCTTGGCTCTGTTATTAGCGATTTCTAATTCGGAAATGGGAGGATAGAAAAATCATGGGCGCCGGATGTCTCGGCTAGATTAGAAGTTTCATATTAACTGCACCCAGTGCTGTTGTTTTGCTTTGTATTGATCCTGGCTCATAATATCGGCAAACCCTACGGCTAAACGGAAACAAATGAATTTCTAGCTGCAAGGCTAGATCTTACGGACGATAAAACAAATGTGCGCCACAAAACGTTGGCAAAAGGATAAATCTTTCGACGGAAATGCTAATCCGTAATTCACAGGACTTTGGTTGCCTTCTGAAGTCATATTTATATATATTGTTTAGTCAGTCATGTTAACTTAATTTCCTTTGACTTCATTTGCATTGCACATGTGAAAGTATATATATGTAATTAATAATATACAGCTGTTATATGCACATTTTCATTAGAGACAATAATTAGAGACTCATAAATGGTTCCATGGTGTAATGGTTAGCACTCAGGACTCTGAATCCTGCGATCCGAGTTCAAATCTCGGTGGAACCTAAAAGTATTTTTGACTTGCTATAACGTTCTAATAATAAACTTCGCTAGACGATGTGATTCGTAGAGGTAGCAATCGCATGACCGACCGTAAGATCTTTCTCTCTCACTCTCTTTCTCTTTCGCTTACTCTCCCTATATTCATCCTCACTGATTATTGCGAGATTTTTGCTCAGAAAAACTCAATATAGCTGAATGTAGGCTCACCTGACAGCGGAAATATCACTGATTACACCAACATTAAAAACACAAAGATTTTATGCAGTTATAGCATAGAAAATTGGAGATAAACACATCGTAACAGCAATGCATTTTATCGCGTAGCTAGAATAGCAGAATTGGTAAACTTGTAAATTGTCGGTGATTAATTGAAAACAAGTGTATTTGAGAGAGTCTGTACTATGTCTATGGCAGATAGGCGGCGGCGCTACTAGTTAGTCCATACTACCGGCTAGTTTCAAGACGACAGCAAACGATTGTTTACCAAACTAGTAGTTCGAAAATTAATGTTTTGGTGAATACGAAGGTTCTAAGACATTTTATTGTTACTCTAGACAATTGCTGTTACTCAAGCAATAACGGTAGGCATCATGACAGTGGGGATAAACACTGACAAACGCTCGTCATAATAACTTTAATCTCCCTCTCTTTTTCGCACTGTTGCTTTCTCTTACATTACTCGTGCATGCCTGCATTCCTATGGTTATTATTTTATCAGCTCCTACTCACGCAGTCGTATCTTCGTGGCTATAAAGTCCCACTCTCTCACCCTCTTTCTGTCTTCTGGCACTCTTTCCCACTTTCTCTCGGGCGCGTATTCTTCTCTCTCGCCCCCTCTTTCTTGTTCTCGCTCGCTCTCTCTCTCTCTCTCTCTCTCTCTTTCTCTCTTGATAACTAGCTCTCGCTCTTCTCTCTTGTTCTTTCGTTCTCTCTCTCGCTCTCTCTTCATTTCTTACTTCTCTCTCTCTCTCTCTCTTTCTTTCTCGCACTTTCTTTCTTCTTTATTCGCCTCTTTTCCTCGCACTCTCTTTCTCGCTCGCTCGCCTCTCTCTAGCTCTCTCTTTCTTTCGCTCGCGACTCATTGTCTAGCTCGTTTCCTTGTTTTCTCTCTCTCTCTCTCTCTCTCTCTCTCTCTCTCTCTCTCTCTCTCTCTCTCTCGCACACACACACACACTATCTCTCTCTCTCTCGCTTTCTTTCTGCCGTTCTCCGTCTCGCGCGCGCACTCTCTTTCTCTTTCCCTCTCTTTCTCTCTCTCTCTCTTGCGCGCGCCTTTTCTACCTTATCCCTTTATCTCTCTTTTCCCCCGACCGAGTTACGTTTATGTCACTATCATCATCACGTCTTAACTCCTCCCTCAATTCTTTGCCGGCAACGAGTTCGTCAACACAAGCGACGGTAATATATCATGGCTCGACGCAGTCACCGTTGGTGCCAGTCTATGTCGACGCAAGCATGGTCGCATCGCTCTGCACGCCTGGCTGCTCTCCATTTACGCTACCGCGGCTCGCACGTGCGCCGCGCGCGCGCCACTCGAAGACTGACAGCCGACACAATGCCGCTGGCGGGGAGGGGCGTGAACAGCAGTACTCACCTGTCGCCGCCTGCACGTGAACTATAAAGTCTAACGGACCCTGCGTGCGAGCGACTGTAAACGCACGACGTCGCGGCAGTGAGCATCAGCGCGCAGCAGATCTCATTCGAGACGATCCGATTTTACCGGACATTTACAGATTGCACAGAAGCACCGTCGTCATGCAAACGGACCTCTTATACACGGACGCTCGCGCGATGGACGCGTCGAGTTTACAGCAAGCGCATCAATACAGGCCGCTACGGACGAGCAGGGACAACGACTCGTCGCGATGCAGGAGACCGAGCGAAGGAGCGAAGCAGCAGAAGGTGGCGCCGCGCTCGCTGTCGCGTCGCAACCAGCGCGAGCGCAATCGCGTGAAGCTGCTCAACACGGCGTTCGGGTCGCTGCGCGACCACGTGCCGGACGGAGAGAACAATAAGAAGCTGAGCAAGGCCGACACGCTCAAGTCGGCCATCGACTACATCGGCGAGCTGCAGCAGCTGCTGCACGACGTGCAGCGCTACGACGCGGCGACCGCCGCCGCGACGTACGGCGACGGCGGACTCGCGCTCTCCGCGTACCTGCCCGCGTCATCAGCATCGTCACCGTACTCGAGCGCGTCGCCGTCCGTATTTTCGATGACGTCACCAGGCGACTACTCGGCGACGTCGCCGGGAGCGTATTCGGCCGTCCCGTATTCGGCATCGTCATCGTCGCCGTACGCTGCGCCTGCCGTCGTTCACGTGCCGGCATCGCCATCGGCGTCGTACGCTGCCGCCGGCTACTACCAGGATGACGGCAGATTGGCGGCGCTCAGCACAGGCTCGGCTTCCCCCACCGAGCTGTCGGACACGGGCTGCGGAGACGCGGGGGTGAGTCCGGGACGGGAAGGAGCAATGCCCTTCAACCACTGGCTGCTGTGAACCTGATACAGGTAAGCCGATTGAGAAGATTAATTAGTGTAATTAAGCAATGGCGTACCTCGTGGCGCCTATATATACACGCAGGTGTGTGTAACACACGCGCATGCACACACACACATACACACACACACACGCACACACACACACACACACACACACACACACACACACACACACACACACAAACACATGCAAGGTGTAAATAGGCGCGGAAGTCAATTTTCCCACGCTGGCGCCTCAATTGCTCCGTTTGTGCATCGTATAAAGCATGCTTGCACAGCCCATGTATAGTTCGCCTTAGAATCTTAACAGATGTTCGAATTCCCACAATATTGACAAAACACACGTGATGTGCGAGTACGCGCTAACGGCTTCCCGCCATGTCGTTGCCGCCACTCGTTCGTTGAGCAGTGCAATAAATGAACGCGTATAATGCGACTCAGCGGCAGGTCTATTATATAGCCTACAATTCGAATCGTTTTATTTTTAACGACTAGGACGATTATACTATTACAAAATTGGGTGAGTAAATAACAGAATAATGAGTCGCACCTAAACAGGCCGCTGCATTTACATCAAGTCAAATTACAAATTAAAATTTAAAAATGTAACTGTTTATATAAGGATTGGGCGTACATTTAATATTGCATTATCGCCATAAAAATGCAAATATGCACGCCTCTCATCTGGTTTCTGCATATAAGTAATTGCATAATTTATGCACACCTTTAAGAGAATGTGATATACAAAATCATATTTAATTGATACTATCTATTAGACTGGATGGGAGTGTTGAAAGCATTGTGTGAAACGTGATGGAATGTGTCTTTCCGCACTAGGAATTAATCAAATCTATATCGATCATTTCATCGACGCCTATGGGCCTAAACAGCAATTCAGACCTTCATTGACTTTGGCTTGCTATGAATACAGATTTAGTAGCGACTGCCAACAACTGCGATGTTATCTAACCTTTGCGAAATCGACCAAGGGAACATCTTACAGATGATTGATGTGAACGCGGCTTATTGTAAGATCGGGATGATGCGGTAGCCATAATTAATTAAACGAGTAACCGGACTATGTAACGTAAAAACTTTGCCGCGAGGAAGCGGTACCCTAGCGGTGACTGTCGAACAGAAACTACGCATTAGCTCTGTCTCGGCATGAAGGTCGATGCGCCCTGATGTCTAATTTCCGAGTTCCCTACCGACTAAGCGCCGCTCGTGTTGCTGGATACACTCGGGACACAGCTGCGGGTCTGATTAGGATACCCTCTCGCATAATTGCTCCGGCCACAATGGCGCGCGAAGAAACAATAGGCTTACACACACGGGCTACCGTGCGGCCCAACTCGTGGAGAATTGATTGCGGTCAAGGCTATAGTCGACTCGCATCTTTGAGCTGGAGCTTTGTTAGCTCTGCTGCTCGGCACGAGCCTTTGTTTCCTCGCTGCATCCCCGTATTAGGGAAAGATGCCGATGTTAGATGCGTCGGTGGTCTCTACCGTGGGGACCAACGTCATTATGCTCGTGAGAGCGGCCGAATTTTCTTGCAGATGTTTCTCGGGAATTACAAAATTATACAGGGTCGCAGATATCGTCACCTGTAGAGGCTTTCAGTTGCTACCTTTATAAACGTTTTTGTTTCTATGTTTTATACGGTTTGCTGTCGTCTTGGTCATATGTGCCACGCGCGCACACTATATACGCCATATATATGAACCGCAAACTATTACGTCACTTAGTCTGATCATATTTTATAGCACTAGTTGATTTGCTATGCTTCTATACACATTTAGAATTCTCTAGCCGTCTATCCCTTATATAATGCCGATTTTTCCTAGCGCTTCGTTTGTATATGCGTTCTCCTTTCTACTTCGTATGGCCCTTTATCAGCAATTACTTTATACAGGAATTATACAAGCTATTACTTCACATAGGGTTTATACTTAATATAGACATTACCACCCACTACTTAATAGGAATTTTCTGACTCGGTATTATATTTAGATTATCCCACTCAGTACATTCTAAGATCACCACTCACTATGTTATACAGATGTTATGTAGCCCACTACTTTATACCGTATTTATCAGCCACAGTCTTGTATAGACATTCCCACCCATTAATTTACATAGGTCTTCGCACAACTCTGCACACACAGTACGGGCATGCGTCACGTACTCAGACACGCTCGCAGCTGCACAGAAATCCGCTGATAGCGTCTGTTTGAAAAGCGGCAAGCTTGGCGGTGCGTAGCGGCAGCTGCCGTCACGCCAATGATCCCCCCTATCCCGTACACACACACACGCGCGCCAGCGGCCGTACGCCAGCACCTGCCGGCGGTCCGTTTGAGCTGCCGCCACCCATCGGACGCGTGCGCCGTCACTCCGGGTTACTTAGGGGTGACTATATAAAGCGCTACCGTGCAACGAAATCACAACCCCTGCGTCGTAGACTACGCGTGAAGTAAATTAGTAGTAGGAATATTAGCGCCTATAAATGAACTTATGCCACCTCTTTTCCCCCAGCCACTATGCCCACGACACCTCTGCAAATAATAAAATATATAATGTTAACAAGCTGGGACGCGGTTGTTGGAAATGGGAAAGTAGACGACAAGGTTACACGAATGAAGTGTCTGAATCTATTTGCAACCCGGAGAGCATTTATAGTAATAGCCGTTTGCAGGATTACTCCCACACAATAGCATTGTGCTCAAATTTAAGATAAGCTTAGTAGCAATTTTCAGACAGAAGCATATACCATGCTATTTATGTGTGAACGTGTATTAATTGTTTATGTGTATATATGCGCGCGCACTTGTGGAGTACGTGCGTGCGCGTGTGTGCGTCCGCGTGCAAGTATGCGTCAATGTTTAAAACCCGTTTTTCTTTTCTTCTGCTTCTAGAGGAACTGCTGCCGATTCTAGTCAACACAAGTCAACGACGTACCATTCCACCGCCGCTGCTGTTCAACCATCTTACGTTGCGCTCGATAAATACTTCATTATTAACAAGTCAGCAGACGTGTAAAGACGACTCGATCCTGATGGGGGGTTGCGATCACCTCACGCGAGGGCAAGCACGTGGAGCAAGCACCCCGGCACGTACGGGTCAAAGGTACACGGACGATCTATTAACCCGATAATTCAGAAGTTGATTCAGCGAATTCATAGTTACGTTTATTGAGCTGCGTGATTACTCGGACGCGCTACCGTGTTTGCCGATCAGGCGAGCAACACGATATAGAGCACGCATCTTACACAGCTGCCTAGAAATGTTGACATTATAGTAGATGTTGACATTACTAGCGCCTGTCTCGCAGACACTCGGTCCGTTTCAATAATAAAATGACGGTAAATAAATACGAACTATATTTACTACCAAAGTTTGGCACAATATACCCTAAGGCACGCCCACCCCAAGACTTTTATGTTCCTGTTTTATTTCCTGTTCACGTACTCTAAGTTGCCTAATAAGGCCACGTAAACACCGTTTAAATACTCCTCCACAACACACAATCTTACCGTAAGCACGCCACTGTGCACAAACTTATTTATGCGTTCAAAAAACAACTCACAACACTATATTTTGTGATACTATATGTGTCTATACTATGAGTTTGTGTAGCGGTCTACGTCAGATATGACTGTGTGTTGTAGTAGAGTGAGTGTTGAGTATTTGAACGGCATTTACGTGAAATTATTAGGCAAGAAAGACTACATAAACATCGAATCTCTGCATGGTAGTAAATATAATTCGTACTTAATGACTCATCATCATTGACTCATCATTTTATCATTGAGACATCCCAAGTTTCTGTGACCTGTCTCGTGAATCTTGCTCACATGCAGTTAGCGGTTAATTGCAATGAATTTTAGCGCTTAGGTAATAAGATTTACATACCCATGTGCGTCATACGTGCATTATACGTTTCAGCTCGCCAACCCCAGCGTTCAGCCGACTATCGCATCTGCTCAAAAGTACAAGCTCCTACGGATGTTCAACACTGATAGACAACCTCGATGCTGACTAAAGACAACGTAGGACATATAGCATGTGATTCAGCATGTGATAATGGCCGAAATATGTCCGTCGATCTTTTAAAGTATCAAGAGAAGGCACTCTGCCTATACGTCTGTAGAAGTGATACTTGCGATTTAATGTGGGATTGTTACTTAAACAGTTTTATTCAAGATTAAAGCGTATTATTTTTCGAGCGCTTGTACGCTAAGACATACTGAGCAAATGACCAAGAAATATCAGTTCGCTACACATCTTTCGCGCATGGCCTGCGGTTAAATTTGGACGTTGACCATTCATATAATATCGATGGCACACGGGTAAATAGTGCGTTGACTTGACAATCTATTGCCCAACACGCAAAACCGACGCTATCGTTATTAGTTATGCAGCTAATAATTATTACGTTATAATCAATTCGATAGAGCGATAGATGATTTCGCCCGAGGATCTTGTAGGAATGCTAGATATTTCTCCTTTATATTTATACTATGACAATACCTGTGTACTGCATATTTTATAAGTATTGGGCCTGTAGATAACGTATTTGACGAGAATAGATATGCAGGTATATAAGATTTTAGTTTTAGTTTCATACAGCGCTAGAAGCTGCCATGACATGATGGGTGGAGTAGCTATTATTTTGTTTGATTCATTAAATAAGTAATCGTAAATTCACTTACTCAATGTTTAATTCATATCTTATTTCACGTAATGCAGTGCAAATAATAGACCAATCGTGTACATAATTTTGCCTTTTTGTTGTATCATATACTTTATACTTTAAATATATTAATCATATATATTAAAAACGATTTTTCATAAAACATCTGTTTTTTGGTGTTTGCTAGTTTACTTGTCACGGGTAAGAGAAATTGTACTCGGCATATTACTCACCAGAAATCACATAGCCGTAGTTACTGCGAGTATGGTAGCAATTTCATAAATCCACAATAAAATAAATAAATAAATAAGTGAATTGAATATTTTTTATTAGAGGGAAAAAAGGAGTTTATAAATATTTCTTTAGAATACGAGCTCACTGGTATGATATACAGGGTCCTAATACTATAAGTCCTAACACAGGGTCCTAATATAATAAATACCAAATTTGGGGCCTATATATCATCTGAACGGTCTATGAGGAAAGACATCTCAATGTGCTGACAAACAGATATGAGCTGACGAGAATGCTTCTACGTAGCAGCTATACCGAGCAGCCCTTCGCCCCGCAACAAGAGCAACATGACTACATAGGTAGAGAGCCAACATAAACGAGGCAGAGTAAATCAGCTTAGACATCTTGGTTTATCTGTAGTGACCGTAATCAGATTCGCGCGATCGCTCTGTGTATATAATAATATATTTGATCCTGTTCATATAAACCGGTATACGCGCCTCGCTTCGCTTTAATATTGTATCCTATGATAATAGCAAACACTAAGAGAACCAAGGTGAAATATCGCTAACGATAATAATCTGAAACCAAGACATGTTCATGATGTCAGTCTGTATGCACTATATAAACATTAAGGTAGCCTTGCAAAATCGAGGTTGTATGAGCAAGTTAGATACGCAGATGGGGTCGTTGTCGTATCAGGTACTACAGATATGTACCCGAGGTAGTTTTAGGTTGTTTAGTATTATCAGGAGCGTACAATGACAAATATATACAAATGACAAAAATAAATGCAAATATATTTGTCATTATACGCTCCTGGTATTATGTTTATATTTTTACGTGAGGTATGTTTAGGGTTAGGGTTAGGGTTAGGGTTAGTGTTGGGGTTAGGGTACACTTTTGTAGTACAAGTCTGGTACACTTTATGTATACATATATGTACCTCGGGTACATATCTGTAGTACCTGATACGACAACGACCCCTTAGCGACCCAACGGCGTTAGATACGCCTAGTTATCGTCGCACCTGGCAAACCTGTTGGCCATGTCTCCCAACGGAGATAGGTATATAGACCCTGCTCGTATTATCTGTGAATTTTCCCAGGTAACATGACAGGGGGCACACGCACGCAGTCAGTTCATGTAGTTGAATGCTCGCACCGACATGGCTACGCCTACGATCGTTCTCTGGGCCACGCAGAACTTTTTGCTGTTGTTCGCCATTGTTTTTATCGCTGCATTCGTATGGCACTACCTAAGGAGACCGCGCAACCTTCCGCCTGGGCCACGAGGACTTCCGCTTGTCGGGTCAGCTCTTTCACTAGGAGCCCGGCCAGACGTTACGCTAAAAGATTGGTCAACGACCTACGGGCCGGTGATGAGTCTGTATCTGGGACCACAGTTATTCGTGATACTAAGCGATTTCGATTCGGTTCGGGATGCGTTTCTCAAGGAAGGCGAATCATTCTCGGGGAGGCCCACCTATCCATATTTTGAACTTCTATCGGCAGCCGTCGTAGGGAAAGACATACGCAATCTATATCACGGTAAGACGTGTTAGATGGCGCGGACCATTCGTACGTCAGATTAAAATTATTTGCAAATATATTTCTATATATGCTATATGGGCGTAATATATTTTGGGGACTGTATATATTCGTACCGATTCGTACATATATGTTAGCTCCGGTAACATTTTAGGCCAAATACGGGCACCACACTCGATGAGGGCTTTTACCTTTGTGACCGCATGTGACCGGATGTCCATATCAGGCGCGTTAGGAAAGACGCGCGTTTTCACTCTATCGCTTCCGTGAAGTCGTGCATTCGCCTTCTGACTCGTGCTAATGCACATCGATACGCGCTTGTTGACCATAAAACATGTCAGTGGCGTTTGGGAAGCTATGTATGACATAAATCATAATTTTAGCCTATGAGCGATACCGCGCGTATATATTTGGTAATTAATAAAACTATTCTCAAAAAATAATACAAAATTCACAGAGACCATAGCTAAGACATGTGTTTATATGTATCTCAAATTTTAGAAATGTAACCCAATTTGTTCGCGAGATATTAGAGATAGTACACTTTCCTACGGTCCATAGCTTAAAGGGATCGTTTACTCTAGGTTCTAGGGTTATTTTCAGTTAATTTAGGTTAAAATTACGCTACATAAAACGTTTCATGGTTCAATCATCATTAGAAATATTATTTAAATTTTTTTTTAAACTAACGGCTACAGATTAATTACAACGACGGTGGCGCCACTCAAAGCGCACGATCTGATAAGTTGCGCAAAACCACTTTCCAGCCAAGGACTACAGACCGAGGGTGTTTCTTATTTATTCATTTAAAAGCAAAAGGATTGTAATATCTTATAAACGACATATAGTTTCAGTTATAATATGGATAAATTTGCACTAAAATGAATATCGTTCGGTTAAATAGCATTTAGGTATAAATATAATTGCACTTTTGTGATTAGCCCTCGGTCTGTAACGTGCAAGATAAACTTTAAAAAAAATGTTAACGGCTGTTTACAATGCGCCAGCGTGCTCAATAGGAGCGATGGGCGTTGGGGGGTTTGGAATTGGCGGCCGCCATATGCGCCCGAAGCTACGTTATCATGCCACGTACGCAGGTCAAAGGTTGCACACTGCGCGCGGAAAATCATCTCTCTGCGCAAACTATACTTGTATCGTTCGCTGACCAACTACAAGTATAGTGTACGTTGGTTTAGCAAACTAGTGTGGTTCGGTGGCGCGCGAATCCTGTTGGTATGAATGAAAGTGTCAATGACACTGTAGCTCACCACAAAAAAGGACACAAATGAGTGAGTAAGAAGAAGCCAGTTTTAAATGAGCAACCATCGACGTACATTATAGAAACGATTGCCATCTGTATATCGCAATAATAATTTATAAACCAAAATGAATCACAATTTGTGACCGTAGATGTCCGTGGCGTGACCGCTTTGTAGCGATGGCGTTTGAAATAAATAGGTTATGCTGCGTTCCGACATGTTTTGTAAATCTTTACTCTAATATAGTACGTTTTATCGGCAGGGTGGAGAGGAAATACCAATTTTGCATTAAAGAATATTGTCAATGAAATCTTGTAAACGAACCAGACGAGTGTGACACCACAGACTGTTTGTGTCTATATAATATGCTATATGAATTGCCCAACCCTACCTAATTTGCATTAAAAAAATTAAATATCAGAACCCTAGCCGGCCTTATTCATTCACATACCAAAAATGAGCAAAATCCGTTGAACCTGAACTGACTAATGGCAATTCCCAATTCCCAAAAATTGCCGTGGCTTGAAAGTACGTCGACTGGCGTGCTCCAAAATAGGACGTTTAATATGGGAGCATAGCAGTAACAACTATACCAAATTTCAAACATGTGTGCCAAACGGTTCCTGAGTTATTGTTGACCGTAGCGAAAAGTTGACGGACGGACGGACGGACGGACGGACGGACGTACGACGGACGACGACCCATGGCAATAGCTCAGCTTGACGATGTCAAGGTGAGCTAAAAATGTACACGTGTTTCTGTAAAGTAAGATAAGGTTTTTATAAATAACATGTTGGTGGCGTTACAATGTGTATGGTTGGCGAAAAATATGGTGTGTGTTTGTAAACCGGCATATGGTTGTACTAAATTGACAAACCGTACACATGTAGCCTACATGGAGCCTACATGTAGCCTACATGGAGCCTACATGGAGTCGATGACTTTTCACGCATTCTCATTGCACGTGTACTCTCCGCTAACATCAGGAAAATGACGATGGCTCCTAGGATCCTGGTCCCTTTCACCTTAGTAGGGGGCCTACTGAAATTATTTATATATAATGTCGATAAATATTTTCAGGTCTTATTCAATCAGACGGGAAACCGTGGAAAGAGCAGCGGAAATTTGCAATGAGCAAACTGCGAGAATTCGGCATGGGTAAAGTCAGCCTGGAAGGCAAAATCAAAGAGGAAATCTCCGCTCTTTTAGCTGAGTTAAAATCTCATGATGGCAAGGAATTTGACAGCAAGGTGAGTACGCCGCCATTTCTGCTAACAATATAGACTGCTACTAACACAGACAGCGACATAACTAATAATAACTCACATTAAATGTCACGACCATCTATAGCACAGCGTGACGTACACGCAGATACACGCACGTACACGCGGGTACACGCACGTACACGCGGGTACACGCACGTGCACGCGGGTACACGCACGTACACGCGGGTACACGCACTTAGCTGGGAAACGCCGGCCGATTGCGTTCCTAGCAACGTACGCGCTACCGCGCCTTCCGTCATGCTTCTGTGCGCATGTGCAGTAGGTATACGTTTGATTTGTCGATTGACGAGCCTCGGCAGTTGCTCAATTGTCCATTGACTCCATTCCATGATTCAAGACGCCTATTCAGTATTCGTGCCTTTGATTTGTCAATTGGCGATGCAATTTGGCAATTCGTTATTTAATTGCGCAATTGAACGCTTGAATGATTAAACGACTGTTTAATTGAACAATCAATCGATCAATTGAACGTTTGAATGATTAAACGACTGTTCAATTGAACAATCAAACGATCAATTGAACGTTTGAATAATTAAACACTGTTCAATTGAACAATCAATCGATCAATTGAACGTTTGAATGATTAAACGACTGTTCAATTGAACAATCAATCGATCAATTGGCATTTTGACACATATCCCCTCCTATACTATAAAGGCATAACCATTGACCGCACATGTGTGAATAACATACAAAACCACGAGCTATTGATTAAAAAGCTAGCCATGTAGTGTACAGACGACGCGTGTCTGGAACCCGAAACTCCTCAATTGAGCCTAACAACGCTGAAGGTGATACTGAGGAGACTGAGGTCATCCCAGACGCAACCGAAAAGCATTAGCCCGTGTAATAACAAGATCGTTAACGTGCACTATTCAATGTTACGTCAATAAGCTATGCTAAAATATGTTATTGTCAAATTTAAAATGTATATATGGCCATGGCCATTATAGTCCTAAAAATAAGAATAACTAAACTAGCATACATCCTTAATCCATAATTTATGGATTAAGGAGTTATGCTCCCGTTATTCTTTTCAACTACCTTACCTCAGCCAAGAGCCGTCGTACTCTGCTAATACACATACTCCACCTATACGCAGACACTTCTGACTACAAGCGTCTGCAACGTCATCTGCAGTATTATGTTCGGCAGCCGATTCGAATACGACGACGCAGAGTTCAAGACGCTCGTTCACGTCATGGACGCAGAGTTCGAAAACTACGCTGTCCAGGGGGCGCTGAACTTCTTCCCGTGGTTGCGCCACTTTCCGCCGTTTAGAAGACAGTTCCACGAGATGATCACTAATGAAAGGCGAGCACCGGCGATTTATTGCACTATGGTTGGAACGTCTTTATCAATCCTCAACTGGCTGGAATGCCAACCGTTATTTGACCGTTATTAAATAACGGAGCAGATTAAAAACACTGACTTTGAGTTTTGACTCACAACACAAACACAAGCACAAACACGAGCATTCGCCAAATACATCATACGCGATATATTACCACGTTAACAGAAGACACAAATCATGTCTTTTGATCTTACTCTTGATGTTCATAATTAGAATATGACGATTACAGGATCATATTTGGTCTGCTTCAACAAAAGATCGAACAGCATGTAGGGGCATTTGATTCAAATAACCTACGCGATTTCACCGACACTTATCTGGCCGAGATCAAACAAGAGGCCAAACGAGGAGCGAGTCGCTGTTTTTTTACAGGTGAAAATAGCAAGCGCGCCGCATACGCATAATCTCATATTTCACGTAGATCTCGGTATCCCGTCATATTTTTAAATTTCCATAGTAAAATTACAACTTTCGTCATATAAAGCTGTTTTCAACACGTAAATGTGATTCTTACGATAATCGAAACCACCGACGTATTCAATAAGTAATTAATGAAAACCAATTGATAAAAGCTTTAAATTAATGCCAGCATTTTCCTAGAATACTATTGAACACTGAAATCTGTCATCAAATTGAAATTTTATCACAGATGCGATTCATTGATACACGTCTCTGTATTCTACGTAGACGAGGAGCTTCTTTTCATTCTGACCGACCTTTTCATGGCTGGGACGGAGACGACGTCTACCACTCTACGATGGGGACTCTTATTCATGCTAAAATATCCAATGGTCTGTAAAAAAGTTCAGTCGGAAATCGATGACGTCATCGGCAGAGGCAGACTACCGACGATGGCCGACAAGAATAAGATGCCATTTACGGAGGCGACCATCATGGAAATCCAACGTCTGGGTATGACGTGGTTAACCGTCACACAGGAATTGCTTCCATGATTCAACGCGGCTACATCTCAACGTCTATACAGCCTAGCGTCTGCGTCAATATAATTATAATTGTAATTTATACACGCGTAATTCTGGTTGCGACTGAGCGGGCAGTAGGGCTCGACTCTTATGCGGCTATACTTGCCGTTTATTTTGTCAGTGACACGACGGCGAACAGTGAATGACTGACTAACTACAGTTGAGACCTATTGTAGCTAAGACGGCTAGATCGATTCATAAAGCAAGTCGCAGCCACTGACAAAATATTATGAATATATCCATTCGCAAGACACGGGTTATTCTTTCATGTAAGTGTTTAAATCTCTGGCATTGTAGCCATCAACGAAGGATAAAATGTAAATTTAATTGCTTGTTATTTATTTATTTATTTATTAGGCGACATCGTACCGCTTGGAATTCCCCATTCTACGCCGGAGGAAGTTGTGTTTAGAGGTTATACGATACCGGCGCATGCTCACGTTATATCTAACCTCACAGCCGTCATGACGGACCCCACCTACTTCCCACATCCCGGCAGGTTCACCCCAGAGCGGTTCCTCGACGAAAATGGAAGCGTTATCAAGAACGACGCACTTATTCCATTCTCCATTGGTACGCGGAATACATAAGAAGTTTCGCGTAAAATCAAGAGTGAATAATAATAGATTATTCACTCCTGAATAATCAATTATTATTCACTCCTGGTAAAATGACTGGCATCTGTTATGTAATGTCGTTATTTTACATATATTTTCTTATTTTAATTGCATCGATAATCGTTACGCTTGTAGTAAGTAGCACTTCGCACGTCTTATAGTGGACTAAATGTCATGGGCATATTTAAAATACTCACGTCACGTGGAACACAACTGGTCCGTAAACTGGTGTGTCGGCAACTTCGAGGAAAAAATGTTGCGCCGGTTAAATGCTGTGGCGCGCGAGAATACAACAAACAAGTTAGTAATGTAATATAGAAACATACACGCCTAGGTTAGACCGCGCACAGCTAAAAGGGGCAAATATCCGGTATCGCGCTGTGTGATAGGCCTATAAGAGGGTGGAGAACAACCGCATATTGAATAATTGTTGTGAAGAGGGGGGGTATAGAACGTGAATTGCTAGCGACGCGTATGATGCGTGTTTCACAGCCTCTTAAATTCAAACTATAATAGCATGCAGGTGTGTGACCAACAAAGGCAGACGTACTCATTTCAAATAAATGTTAGCGTTGGGTACACGACGTCAATATCAATAACATGAATATGTAGGTACACTTATACTCGAATAGCGTGAACTTGTGAGGTCAATACTCCTATATCATTATGCATGGCTGGAATTACCATTTACTTTGCAAGATAAATATGAATATAGATTAACTTTTTATTACATTCCGCAGGACGACGAGTATGCTTGGGGGAAGCACTGGCTCGGATGGAGCTCTTTCTCTTCTTCGTCAGCATCCTACAGAATTTCGATGTCAACCTACCAGAGGGCATGTCAGAGCCATGCATGGAAGGCATCTTCGGCATAACGTATATGCCAAAAATTAACACGATTCGTCTCGTCCAACGAGAATAATGATAGCAAATATAGAATATAACGTCACAGCACGAAAACCACGAAAAATAAGGTAGATTTTGATTAAAGCGGTCTATTAGTATATATCCTAAATGGCTTGATGCTCTTATACAATTTGACATTACGGCGCGATTACGGACCCTGCGTATTTTTAGTACGCTATTTTTAAGCACGCATGCTCGCATCGTGACCCTATGCACATGTAGGGGTTATTATTCATCGTGGATTTTAGACCAGGTATGGAGTATGTTCGCACAACAGTGATTTCTCACCAACAGCTGTCAACGTTAACGTGACGGCAATTGAAGCGAACACGCGCGCGCACGCCTGGCTTGCACGCACACACCCATGTAAGCAGGACGACCCACACACGCACGTAACCGCGCACACACAACGCTCACGCACGCGCGCACACATACACACACATGCGCACGCACGCACGCAGGCACACATACACACACATGCGCACACTAGAAAGAAGTTGCTCCTGGAATAGATTCTGGAGGAGGATACTAGTGGGCTGGACTCCTAGAGGGAAGTCGATGAAAAAGATATGGCTGTCAGCACTAAGAAGGCTGCCACCATGTAGAAGATTGCACCCCATGATCGCCTGTGTAACAGAGCCAACTGTTGAAATACTACACTCTTCTCAAATCTTCCAGATAGAGTAAACACGTTCTATAATTATCCAGACCATCCATTATGACCATTACTGACATTAAAGTTGGGAACACTCCTAATGGAGTATCACCCTAACGTTTACTTTCTAGAATGTTCTGTGACTATGTATATAAGCAGCACGCTCTCGCTAACTTCCCTCTCTTCGACACTTTGATTAGACTTACTTGTACTGTTTGTATCACTGCTGATCAACCAAATAAATCTCAATCAAAAGAAGCATCCTATCTTGGACTCAGTACTTCAAGATTCTCAACACCAACATCGGCAATGATCGGGAGTTGCAATGGGAGAAAGGTGGCCATGGCTGCCCCGTAAGTTGGCAGCAGGTTTGGAGTGGTGGGGCAGATATTTGAAAATTTTTGTGGTAAAAGCACCACAATTGGCATATATGATGTTAAGGGTAGACTAAATGATTTCACATATAGTGGCAAGCTGAATTTCTTCCATAACGCCCATAATATTGGGAAATACAAAATGGCCACTGCAGGATTCTAAATATCTATTACTTGTTCTAATCTTCGTAAATATTTAACATAAAAACATGAATAAAGTGTCTTTTTATTAGTTCTTTGACTTGCAGAATCTAATGTCTGGTGTAATTGTTTAGTGATAAAATGCATATATTTTAGGATATGGCACAGGTTAATACCACCAATTTCTACCATTGTAGCTCGTCGCAGAACACGTTTTGCTGGTCACTGTTTTCGTGTCAAAGACCAAATCATATCTGATGTGATCTGCTTGAGACTGCCTTGCCCAACCAGAAGAAGACGGCCACTGAACTACATTAATTGACTGCATTGCAAGAGATATCCAGCATGACATAGCGGACATGCAGACACAGATGATGGACAAATATTCATGGCATGGCATTGTGAACTCAATCTCGGATGCGTCCGCTGAGTAGTAGTAGTATAGGTTAATGCCAAGATTCGAGATGGTCACCGTGTGATTCTAAATATCTATTAATTGTGCTATATTTGTATATATTTAATATCAGGAATAGAGAGGAGCTTTATGCCCACTGCCATTGTTGAAGAGATGCTTGCCATGACAAAGGAAGATATGGCTGCCATTTCAGAAGAATGAATGTGTGCTGCCACAGAGAATTTTACCACAGACGAAAGACCGCATGGTGAAATGCAGGAAGCATATCATAGGGAGATGATATTCCCTCTCCGTTGACATATCTCGACCTTTGACCCTTGACCCCCAAATTGGTCATCCTGAGTCCTTTTCACGATCCCCCCTACGTCCTGAATATCGTGACCGTACGTCAAGCGGTTAATATTTGTGCCCAACTGTTGACGGACGGACGTAACACTGTCACTTCTACAACATACCTTGATTTACTGACTGATTTTACTGACTTACTGTAATTTGTGATCATCATTTAACTGTCTATCGTGTCTATAGCTTTTTAAGCTCATTTTTATTGAGGTTTGCACATTATTGATGGTACAAAATTTCATTTTATTACAGGCAAGGATTTTTTCTAAAAATTCAAGGACATTTTCATGAAATTCAAGCACTTTTCAAGCACAAAATCAACATTTACTAAATTCAAGTACTTTTCAAGGACTCCCCTCAAATTCAAGAACTTTTCAAGGACTGTGCGAACCATGTAACATTATACCCCGATTCCATTTTCAATCTTTGATTTCATTTTCAATTTCATTCAATCATTTCAGTCGCTTTCATTTTCAATCTGCGAAACCTGAGTATAGTAACACGTGATTTGGCCGATACATTTACTAGAGGTATACTGCTGCATGTAACAATATTAATTAAGACAAAACATACAAAATGATCTACCAGTAATAGTTGGTGTATTTTTCCACCACACTAGATGCACGGTATATCATGTACTATTATTATATTATTACATAACATACATAATGTGTAATTATATGTACTACAGAGCTACTACGCATTTATGAATGTGCAGCATGATAGGGGCAAGATCTTGTAATTGTTCACGCAGTTCAGTGTGCTAACTAACGCGCCTACATTCTAACTAGAACAAGAACTTCACGTCGCAGTTTTTCGCGAAGGTCCGGGCGTTTTGTGTGGGGATTGTTCCATATGGTACGTGGCTGTGCGCGCGGGCCGTGTTGTGGGCCGGTTGTTTTTGCTTGTTCGCACATTGTTGTGAGACTGTGCTGTGTATACGAGGTGTTTCTGGTCACGTATGGGGAACTGATTACGATATAAATAGCGGCGTTGCGATAGCGGCGTTGTTGTTGAACAGGGAGCAGAGTTACTCTAAGTCGAGTCGTGCAGGGTACGGTCAGAGTATTGTGAGTGACGACGTATACACGTATATATTTGAGACGAATAAAACGTCACCGTAAAAGCAGAATGTGTGGTTGAGTTTTCCTGTGTGTACATGTGCAATGACACTTGCTTTAAGAGGCAGAGACTGAACTATTAAATGGGGATTGACATGATGCCTCTGTATCGCCCACAGTCGGGTAACCAGGTCGCGCATGGTGCTCGCAGCAGGAGCAAGAGACGCTGCTGAAGATATACAGCGAGCAACGACTGCGATGCCGCGTTTCATGGCCGAACATCAAAGCACCGTGCACGGCACTCGGTGCAAGAACCTCGCATGCTAGTAGATGTCTTGGTGAAGCTACCTCCTGTGACAGACGGAAGGCCTATTCGAGCACACGGACAGACCTGGGAGCACCATTAGATGTGCAAATGAACATGCGTGTGGAGATCAGCCAGGTCGCACCACCAAGAGAGAAAGGTCAATGACCAGAAGGTGGATCTCACCATCCGTTCCCTTGCAGGAATGAATCTGATTCTCCTACTCGCCCTTACACCACAAAGTAGGACGTGCATTGTAAGAGCTGTGACAATGGCGATTGAAAAGGTATGATGGATACAGTACAAAGACCTGTACAAAGAGTTGTAGATCAGTTAATGAAGGACTGATAGTAGCTGCACCCAAATCAAATCAGGAGGTCGCCCACGGACTGGAATCTGAGGAAGAGGTCGCCCACGGGCTGGAGTCCGAGGATGATGTCGCCCAAGGGCTGGAATCTGAGGAAGAGGTCGCTGTGTGTGTGTGTGTGTGTGTGTGTGTGTGTGTGTGTGTGTGTGTGTGTGTGTGTGTGGGGGTGTGTGTGTGTGTGTGTGTGTGTGTGTGTGTGTGTGTGTGTGTGTGTGTGTGTGTGTGTAAGAGAGGAGGGAGAGAGAACAGAAGGGCCCTATTATCCTGTTTTCGGCAGGCGGTATCTTTGAATTTTTTTTTTTAAACCCTCTAAAAGTGACCGCAGTCGCACATTTTTCACTCCGAAATGTGAAGAGCGGGCGGGTGACCCGAACCAAAGGTAATTTTTTGGTCGGCCTTATTAGCCAATAAATGATGTGAGTACCCAAGGAATGTATGATGACAAATTTTTCTTCTGCCAAAATCATGATGATTTTTAATGAAACAACAACAAGTAAAATATGATATAATACAGAAAAATGTGCAAGGAAATGCGGTATTTTTAGGCGTTATTTTCATTTTTCTTTCAAACTCGAGGGGGGACACCCCCCTCGAGCACCCCGCGTCCCCGCTCCGCTCCGTGCAGCGCTCCGCAGTCACTAACACGGGCGTAAATCCCGGGGGAGATGGGGGGATGCATCACCCCTGCTCTTGAAGGAGGGGGGATGGCCTGTACAAATATCCCCCCTTGAGATTCAAAAAAAGAGAAAAAAAGAAAGAAGGAAGAAGAAGAGGTAAGAGGATCCCGATTTACCAGACAGGTTTATCAGCGTGGGTTTTAGGTGCTACAGTTCAATGAGGCTGCCACACAGTCGGCAGATTCGTAGATTGGGCAGAATTGGATTGCACGCAACACATATTATGTTCATAGACTTGAGTTTGTTTACATCGTGAGATTTCAGAAATTTCACCGATTTTACTGCATCTACTCTAGCTATCAAACGCAGCTTTTTATAATAGCTAGTGTAGGCCTATGCACGTTTGTCGACTGTCTGTAGTGTACGTAGTATGGTAGATAGATAGATAGATAATAGGTTTATTGCAAAACTAGTGTTAACAACGTTACAATTAAAATAAATTTTGCAAACAAGATATCATCAGGCAGTATAAAACTGAAATTGATAATATTTACAATAATATATGTCTCATGGTAAGACATAGATATCACTTAAAATGTTGGTTCGTAAAATTATATCACTAAACTAAAAACCATCTTTAGAATATATTATACTAAATTTAAAATAACGTGATCCTTAGTCAAAAAATAGTTAAAATTAACAATTAAAATGCGACACAATGATAGAATCAAACATATCACACTAACCGAAAGTTATCCAGAGAGTTATTTTAAAGAGACCAAAATGTTTATAAAGAGGCGCAA